TCAGTTTGGAAAAATAAACTTTCTAAGCATCCAGCCTAATATGACGGTTAATGGTACTTAACTTCTGCTGGTGAGCTAACTGCTCAACAATCTAAATGTTCATCAAAAACTGTAAGTCGTAAAACAACTCAATGCTAAACAGTTAATTCTATGAGAAGTAGAGTTAACTGATGTGGAATGCCAACAAAATTCAAAATGTAAAGTATGTGCACAAGTATAATACTGTAACTAAGAATTTAACCGAGAAATTGAGTGCCGACATCACTTTGTTTACTAATAAAGTGATAATATATATGTATAATGAAATTATTCATGAAGTCCCACGCAATGATAGTGAATAACAGGATAGTAGATTGTAATGTCACTTAAAAGGAATTAGAGATATAAACATTGATTACTGTTCAAAGAGTTCATTTGATCTATCGTGTTTCTCAGTCTTACTCTACTTCACAGAAAAATTTTGACGTCTTAGAACAAGCGATAATCTTAACTATTTATATTATTCACGTATATACGGGACTACGTTTTTTCAGTTATGTGCAGCCATTCACAGATTATCCCGCCAAGGATAAATTCGAATATGACTTAATTATCAACTGAATCACTGGACGGATAAGTGAGATAAAAATAGGAAACACTCGAAACTGCCCATTTGTCAACTATTGAACAAATTAAATGCGTAGACATTTAATACCACTATCTCGTTTAGAGAAATGCGCTCTTTGTTACACTTTTAAATACCATCAGTACTTACAACATCGAAAAATCGACGACCTAGATTCGTTTATTTACCGTTGAAAGAAGTAGCTTTCCAGACAACCACTCACTTAACGATGTGTCTCTGCTGCACCTCCAGGCTCAATGGTATACATAACTAACCTCTCAAAATAATATACTGAAAAGTGATGATAAACAAGGTTCGATTGACTTGGAAGTTTCAATCTTCCAAATAAACCTGATTACACATCCGAAATATCTTGGGCGATTATTTTCTTTCTACTATTTTCACATACAAAACTAATGACAACAAAAACTGCAGTTCAGAAAATTAATGAAAGATGAATCGTATTCCTCTGTTAAGCTTTGAAATGACAGAAGCTAGTGTCTTTCTCGTATGCTATACGCAGTAACTCATGATTATGACTCACTGACCATCTTGATACTGCATAAGACCCTTCTATCAGTCAAACAAATATAAAAGAATTTGTAACCACTACCAACAGGCTTTTTAAACATATGGATAAAGACTTTACTTCAATACAAACTCCTGCTGAGTTTTACTCGTTGTTCTCTGGAGATGTCATTTCCTTTCACATACATGTTTTATACAAAAATAATTTGGATTTCGATTACTGTCTCGTATTGTAAAATGGCAGAAGTAACATTCTTGTAAGTTCTCAGTTGTCTCAGGAGTGACGCTCCCGTCTAAATTCCTACAGCAACGAACAGCTCTCTGAAATTCATATCAGTCTCATTATCTGAGTTAGACATGGCTGACAACAAAGCTAACTAGAACTGACGTCGCCGAACTAGATTGGCTACTTCTGTGGGTCCAATAAAAGGCATTTCACTGGCGGCTAAAATGACGCCTTTAATTGATGGGAAAACGGTACAGGTAACAGTGGAGAATAGAGGGATTTAAATATATCTTATGCCCTTAAAACATCAAAGAATGTTCCTCGCTCATGTTCATATTAATTGTATGAGAAATGAATAGTAATAAATGTGGTTGTGAAGATAAACTTTTCTCAAACCAGATTACTGCCTAATTTCAAGGATAACTTCATAATGTAATAAGACATGATGCTTCTCACAAATATTCGATTCATGTACACGTCGTACATGAAATTGGCCTCATAGATAAGAACTTCACTGTTCTATTCTACTCATGATTGTCTTCAGAACACATAATGGCAAATTGATTGAAGGAGAAATCAGTGTATACAAAAAATTACAGCAAAGACTACAATTTCACAAACACATAACAGAACCCACTGGCTAACATTCAATCACAAGTTTATAACTACGGTTTAAAAGTATCTGGCTGTGTTAATTTGCTAACGTTGTCAACAAATGACTGTACTGGTCTTTTATATTTCTTGTTATAAGGAAAATGAACGAAAACACCGAAACAACTTCAACATGACAAATCAGAGTTGAACGATTCCACCATACATGATTACAGTGAATATCATAAAAGATAGTTGTCAAAAAACATATATAAGTGAATATTATTAGTAATTTATAAGAACTCTTGTCTAAATTAGAACGAATAGTTTCACAGTATTTGAGCGCCGAGTTGATGTAAGACATTAAATAAGAATAATATATTTGTAAAATCTCAGCGAATGAATTTGTAGTAAATCCAACGTTTCGCCAGGCAATCTGATCCAAGCTTTTTCAAGGAATCATAATCAAACATCAAAATTATCGAATATAAATAGGTAGTACATGGTTCTCCGGGTTCATTGTACATTGAATAGGTCATCCAATCCACGTTAACAAAAACTCTAAACTAGGTATGTGTAAGAGATAAGCGATGTGAAATGATAAGCGTTAATATAACATATTGTATAGAAAACGTAAGTGGTGAGAGGAGAAAATTACATTCACACTAGATAATGGGACTTATCAGTGAATTTATAAGGAGACCATACAATTTGTAATATATGTGATATGGATCATATCTGTCACAGTATGTATAACATGAAGAATGCGCACTGCTGAGGAGTCCCATAATAGGACGAAACGGCCGTCCAGTGCTTCCAGGCTTTCGATGGTGGTCTAGCTTCAATTGACTCATGATTTCAACTGTGAAAAATAAAAATAATAAAAGAGTGAGATTTGAAGAGTGTAATTTTGAAACTGTACATATGTGTCATTTTTAATGTCCCAATGAATTGTTTAACAAATTCCGATAAGACAGCTGATTAGAATCATTGAGTGTAAATTGTTGTCATTTTTAGATAAAACGAAATAGATAAAAAACATTAAGGAGTTCTGGTTATTACTTATTAATGATTAGCTGCCATGTCACTGCTAATTGTATTCCATCTCTCCTATTAATATTGTTTGGATTAACCCAAATGTATAGGGCTTCAGCTGTTTGTCTTTCTTTGTAGGAATTGAAATCTTTTTGAAGGATTTTTGTATGAACGAAATCAATTGTATGACCCGATTCTATAGAGTGTAATGCTATCGCTGATTTCTTCTCCAGTTTCCTTACATCATCTGAGGAGTTAGGAATGTGTTTCAAGCATTGTTTGTGTTCCTTCATCCTCACATTCAGTTGTCTTGATGTTTCACCTACATACGTTGCATTACAGTCACTACATTTGATTTCATAGACACAATTTTGTTGTTCTTCTTTATGTATTGGATCTTTAATTCTTACTAATTTTGATTTTAGAGTATTGTTTGTTCGAAAAAATACTCTTATATTTTGATTATTTAAGATTCTTCGAATATCTTCCGAAATTCCTTTCCGATATGGGATCACCACTGTGTTAACCCATTCCTATTTCTGTAATCTTTTTGTATTAACAATGTCGTCTTTTCTTTCATTCTTAATTATTCTTTTAATAAAATCTTTTGGATAATTGTTCATCATTAGGGTAGATGTAATTAAATTTATTTCCTTTTTCATATCGTTTGGTTCCGTGACAAGTTTTTGAGCTCTTGTAATCATATTTTTGACCATTGTCACTTTGGTCGAGTGTGGATGTGCCGATTTAAAATCTAGAAATTTTTCTGAATTTGTCAGCTTTCGGAATATACTAATTTTTAAGCCATCATAATCTTTCCTTTCAACTAAAAAGTCTAGGAAAGGTAATTTGTTTTCAGGAGATTCCAACTCTTTGGTGAACTTGATTTTTCCATCAAAGTTGTTGACAAGTTTAAACAGTTCATTCAAATGGTCCCGTTTTATAATGACAAAGGTGTCATCTACATATCTTAACCATACTTTTGGTGCCTGAGAACATATTGAGATGATTAGCTGACAACTGATGATTACACACATATGAATCTCAGAATTTCTCTACTGGTGACAAATGTTTTCTCGGTGAAGTTATTGATTCTTAAGACGATAATGATTTTTGTACCTCGAACTATTTGTTACGATGTTGGTTTTTGTGAGCCTCCGAATGGCCTGGTACGGTCGAGAGTGGAGAGAGTCTGCTCTCCTTCTCCAAATGCTCTTACATGGCCAAGCGTATATAGCCTCTGTCAGAGATCTTTCACTCACTGCCTCTCGCCACTAAGGTTCTGTTAACGAAATTGAGAGAACGAAAAGCGAATCTCCGACAGGAGCTTTAACCGGGTTGGTGGACATGGGAACTTCACGTACGGGAATCGGAAAACCCTGATTTCAAACCAATGGTGCACGTAGACTGGCTTCAAATGATATATGAACCAGTTGTTAGTCACCAACTACCATGGGACTGCATCTCCTCTCGTTGCTCCACTGCCTTGTGGATCAGACCTTTAGGTCTAAGGCTGTGAGTGTGGGCCTCTAATAAAACCACATGCTTCGGTTTGGGAACCTGGGCAGCATCACATCCCTCACATAAATCAAATGAGAATTTTGTGGCGCATATGTATCTGGCGCTTCCTTGTACCAATATTTATGTGTTTAAACAAATAATAATAATCGTTTTTGTGACTAATAGAAACTATGTCTAATATATCGAAATTTCAGTATTGGTTTGTGAGTATTATTATGTTTGTAATTAAGATCATGAACTGATTGATGTTGGATTCCGCTTGCGGGATCTTAGATGCGCAGTGCTGAAGAGTCTCAAATTAGAACGAGACGGCGGTTCAGTGCTTCCAAGTTTTTAATTGTGGTTTAATATCGATCGGTTCACGATCTCAATCAAAATCCGAATTTGTTCAGAAACTTCATATGTCAGCCTGTTGTTTGTCAAAACATTGAATCCTCTCATCATATTTAATTTTTTGTCAACCTCTTGTAACTAATCCTGTTAACAATGTTGTTTATGAATTTTATTTTTGATTTCAGCAAAGATGCAGGACAGCAACTTGGTCAACGTCTATGTAAACTTGATCCATTTCAATTTCAAAGAATGAACATGATTTATAAACGAGTATGTCTGTCAATTGATACTATAAATTTGATTTATTGATTGGTCATTACATACAGTTTTATAAATGTCATTTTCTTAACCTCATAGTTATTTCAAAGTATTACCATATTGACATTACTATGGAGGCTTCTTCGACACTACGGCGTTCCTGAGAAGATAATCAATATCATACGGAACTCCTACGATGGATTGAACTGGATTATAAAGACGTCAACATCTGGAGGAAATCACGGGATACAGTGGACAGGCAGGATGCAGCTTGACGATTTAGACTTCGCGGATGATCTGGCTCTTCTATCACAAACGCAACAATATATTCATGAGAAAACGACCAGTGTAGCAGCAGCCTCAGCAGCAGTAGGTCTCAATATAAACAAAGAGAAAAGCAAGACTCTCCGATACAATGCAATATGCACCAATCCAATTACACTTGACGGAGAAGCTTTGGAGGATGTGGAAACCTTTACATATCTGGGCAGCATCATTGATGAACACGGTGGATCGGATGCAGATGTGAGGGCGCGGATCGGCAAAGCAAGAGCAGCATATTTACAATTGAAAAACATCTGAGACTCAAAACAATTGTCTAACAACACCAAAATCAGAATTTTCAAAACAAATGTCATGACCGTTCTACTATATAGGGCGGAAACTTGGGGAACGACGAAGGTCATCATCCAGAAGATACAGGTGTTTACAAATAGTTATCTACGCAAGATACTTCGGATCCGTTGATCAGACACTATCAGCAGCATTCCACTGCGGGTGACAACAAACCAGATTCCAGCGGGTACACTTTGAGGCAATCACCCAATTGCCTCACGAGACAAGCCCTCACATGGAATCCTGACGGCCAAAGGAGAAGAGGAAGACCAACGAACACATTGAAGACAGACATGAGAAAAATGAATAGAACTAGAAAATAAGACTCAGGACAGAGTGTGTTGAAGAATGCTGGTCGGCGGCCTATGCTCCATCGGGAGTAACAGGTGTAAGTAACTAAGTAAGTAAGTATGACCATCTTGCGAGAACGATCCTTTATCTTTGAATCTTTTCTGATTTATTGATTTTTTTTCGTTTATTTGTTTCTTCCAGCCATATGTCATTTCAAAGAAACCCGTTAGACAATTTGGTGTAGTTCTTGAAAGCAGGACGTCTGGTCAACTCCATAATATTTTAGTAGCAATATGTAAATACTATCAATCTAGTATAATTTTTTTTATCGTGTAAATATAAGAGTTTTTATTGAATGGATCTCATTTTCAGCGTATATATTTACGTCATTTACCTCATTTTGAATGCTTAAGAAAATACCTCCTGAATAACTACAGCATAATCCGTGAATTTTCACCTCATCCAAATAAGTTGTTAATAGGTATATGTAAACATGTTTAACAGTTATACTATATAGTGATATATATGTATAACTCCACGTGGAGTTCCTCTGGAGCTACTGCTAGTTTCAGATAAAAGAAAACGGTTGAGTATAGGGTTAGCGACCCCATCCCATAGAAAAATAACTCCCTAAGAAAACACAGTAACCCGAAAAATATGTATCTACTGTGATAAAAATCACGTAAGAATTAATCAAAATACATAAACTATGGATTCGCTGATGAGATTTTCGATGAAAATAAAAACACAATGGTGGAGAAGCTTTGTAGCTAAGGTGGATGGTTTTGATGATAGCTCATGACCAAACCATCCAGCTCAGTGAACAAATCTCTATTAAAAAAACAATGTTTTTTTGGTAAGTTTCTGTTATTATGTAAATGATCCAGTACAATAAAAGCTCTATTTCATTAGTCGGTCATCTACAACGTAGGACCAGGCACATTTATGCATCGGTCCAAGTTGCCATACCTCGTTAGCACAACAACATGAACACCAAATTCATAGAAGTAGTTAATTTAGTGGTGATAAAATATAAAAGATAGGTTGTATATAAGGATATAGTATAGGAAGAAAGACAGATATGAAGCAATTTTAATCTCAGTGTTTAAGGGAAGATAAAGAGTGTATACACATACGCCATTTTGGTTGATTCTGAGCCATATCACCTAGAGTCTCCAACCATTGGTTACGATAGCCACGATAGTCAGCCACTAATCAACCACCACTTCCTATTTTTGATCAGGTGAGGGATATGCTTCTTGACGTGTCTTGTATAGTGTCGACATGAAATACATAATTTACTTGGCATAAATAAAACACAAAAATTACCTGATTTTTATTCATCTATTTAAAATCATGGTTAACAATTTTGTGGAGTTGGATACGAAGGGATCTATTTTCAACGGTTGTACAGCTTGATAATAATTTCGTTGAAAAAAGATCCCTTAGTATCCAACTCCTAAGAAAATAACCGAAGCTCTTACCATTCATGAACTTAAACCAAAACAATTTTGTGATTGAAAATAAATCTTAATATTTAAAACAACACCTAAGAAATCTTCGTTTTTACAAGCTTGTCTCAGTTGTCTGAGGCGATTGCTATCCGGATCTAAAAGCCAGAGCTTTAAATCCGAAAAAAATATGCTCAGCCACTCCTTTTACACTGGCCAACTTCAGGGTCAACTTGTTAATAATATGGCGATGTGATTTGATTAATGTTCACTTATTTTATCTACACGTCTTACCATTGTCATTACCATTATTATCACACTTGGTAACCTTTCTAGAGAAATTTATTTATCATCCACCCCCAATCTACTTATCTGACTTAATTTATATTATTCTACATATTACGTAATTTCTGATTTGTAATCCCATTTTTCTATCTCTCACCCCCATGTCAACTATAAATATTCTGATCATTTATCTCACTATTTCATTCTATTTATAAACTGATCCAAGTTAACACTTTATATATTAGTCATTCCGACATTAACGATTTGATTAGAATCAGAGGGGGATTTGTGGAGATTTCAGAATATTTCAAAGTTGAAATCATGAGTCAATTGAAGCTAGACCACCATGGAAAACCTGAAAACACTGGACGGCCGTTTCGTCCTATTATGGGACTCCTCAGCAGTGCACATCCACGATCCCGCACTCGCGAGATTCGAACCCAGGACCTACCAGCTACGAGCGAGAGCCCTTAACCGATAGACCACTGACTCGGCATCCAACGGTGTTAATGTCTAACTTCAACTGATCCATGAATTATGAGCGACACTTCACCAATTGCCTTCAGTGAGTTGTTATCTCACAACAGACGTGATTTTATATTCATATAGGGGTTTTGTGGAGATTTCAGTATTTTCATAGTTCAAAGCATGAGTCAATTGATGGTAGACCATCATGGAAAACCTGGAATAACTGGACGACCGTTTCGTCCTATTGTGAGACTCCTCAGCAGTGCGCATCCACGATCCCGCCTCGCTAGACTCGAACTCAGGACCTATCAGTGTAGCGCAAACGCCTAACTTCTGGCACCACTAAGCCGGCCGACATCCAATGGTGTTTGTGTCTAACTTCAACCAATCCATGAGGTTGAGCAACCGTTCATCAATTGTCTTCAGTGAGTTCCTACCTCACAAGAGACGTGAATTGAACTCCACTGCTTCTCACTCCTTGGTGGTTTAGCTTCAATTGACTGATGCTTTCAACTATGAAAATACTAAATCTTCACAAAACTCGTTCTGATTATAATTCTAGTTAAACATAAAATGTTAGGCCAGTTAAACATTCACAATTAAACGATTAGCTAATTTTCCATATTTAGTAATCACGAGGTGAGTGAACGAACTAAATCACCATTTATCATCAACAGCAGTTAAAATTGTAACAACCGTTTCTACTTGCTGAAGTATGTCCGTATATTCGATGAGAGGTAAAAGAAAGCAAAGAGCTTAATTATGCTCAACATGGTTAACAGTGTTAGAATTGAATCCATGGTGACTAGTTTGGTATAGTATAGGTGACGTTTCTGCTACTTTTATTTTATAGTTAAAATCATCAGTCAATTGAAGCTAGACCACCAAGGAAAAACTTGAAAACACTGGACGGCCGTTTCGTCCTATTATGGGACTCCTCAGCAGTGCGCATCCACGATCCCTGACTCTAGCTTCAATTGACTCATGATTTAAACTATGAAAATACTGAAATCTCCACAAAACCCCTTCTGAACTTTTATTAGTAAACACATTTTTCTGGGGTTGACGAATAATCATTTGTGCTGTAATGAATTCAACTGTCTAGAAAGCAAAAAGAGAGGGTAATACTAAGTGGGTGAATTCATGTGAGCTTTTGAATTTTGGATCAATGTTTTCGTGGTTTCGTGTTTATGCCTAATAACAGAGGTTTTGTTTTTGGACCCTAGTAAGTTCTTGATTGTACACTATTGAGTAGTATCATATTGGAGCGAAACATATGTGAGATGCTATCTGGATGGCCGTTTCGTCCTATTATGAGACTCCTCAGTAGTGCGTTTTGTCTTGTATTTTTCTTGTAACTACATTTTAATGACAAGTATAAGTCGTATTTATGATTCTTACTTTATTATATTTCAGATAGATTTGCATACAATAGGTAAGATGTATAAAGTTAAATATGGAATATATCTGTCGGATGATGTGAAACGAATTTACTATGGTGAATATGCTGATGCTTTGTTAGGACTTTTGAAAACAGAAGAAATCCCAGATATATATCAACATTCAATACCATTACCATTACCTCCATTACTTCACGCGATTGAACCTTGAATGATGTTCATCCTCTTTTATAACTTTGTGAACTTTTTTGAAATAAGTTGTATGCACGGACAAGTTCTTGACGTTTGTTTTGCTTACAAAATGTCGGTAGTAAATTTATGTAAACGAATTATTCTTTTGAATTTAACGCTTGATAAAATAAAAACATAGATACCAGTCAGTTTAAACAAATTTGTTTAAAATCTAAGGATATAAACTCTGACGTGGATGGTTTGATCGTGGACATTTCATCGTTCTTCTGCATGACAACATCAGTGAAAACTTCGGGGAGAAGTGAAGTGTTCGAATTCCTTCATATACAGCTCACAGCTTGTCATGTAGACCTAGGTGTTCATTGGTTTTTGTTGACCTTAAACCTATCATTGCTTACTTCTCTACCTTAATTGTATCTCCCATTACTTTAGTTTCTGGTTCTATGTTTGTTCATAATTTAAAAAACTATTTTTGTTTTATTCTAGGAAAGATGATCTGAGGGTTCACTGTCGAGGCAATTATTTCATTACTATAAGATGTATCGTTCAATGTTTATATCGTTCATTACAATCTGGTAGTATACATCGCCCGTTGTATGTGATTGTGCATATCAAGCAAAGAACAGTTCTTTACTTTGAACGAACAAAATTTAAAGGCTGCTAGGGTGGAAACTCTACAACCATAAACTCGTTGTAGCATTTTAAAACAAACTCTTGAAATTGAAGTCTTCAGATTACCTGAAGGTGATGAAATTATTTGTGTGTTTTTATCCGTACACATTTCCATTATCATAAATGAATAACGAGGTCTTTGATGACAAAATTTGCAATGACAAAGGAGTTAAACAATAAACTATCATTCATAGATGTACTAGTCACCAGAACCGATACAAAAAAAAACTTGAGACTAATTTACATCGGAAGCCTATCTACACAGATCAAATTTTCAATTACAATAGCAACAACCAAAGAACGCGTAAAAGTAACTGTGTACAAACTTTATTCAAGAGGGCGAGAAAACGCTACAGCACACTTGCCGCGCTGTGAACAAAGACAAAATATCTATCGATTATCTTTCAAAAGAATGACTACCTTTGCAATTTCACCAAAAATACCAACCAACGCTTCAGCAGAAACGAAGTGTTACGAGGGAACTGAAGTCATTTGGCTGATTAAAATCTTTTTACTGTACATCAATTTAACTGTTTTTTGGATGTGTTTGTTTTACTTGACCTTTGGACTTGTTTGTTTATATCATTGTTTTCGGACATTTTGATTTCTTTTGTCATTGGTTTGGTATTTGGGAGTTTTTGCTCCGGGAACCTACAAAATTGAAGGTTTGTTTTATAATTGTTATAATTATTGTTGTTAGGACGACTTTGGCGATTATTTGTATATCGCGAATAAACTTGGTATCTAATTAGGAGTTTTGGTTCTCTTGCCTACTTGGATTCGTGATTAGCGAATATCGACAGACAGTATTTCAATAGTTGGAACGGGCAAAATCTCATAATTGGACGAAAAACGAAGTCAGGTACGGAAAACGTCAAACGAATAATTCTACCATGTATAAAAGCCATATCAGAATTCCCTGAAGCCATTTGCAATAAGCGTGGTACAAAAACCAACAAAGTGATTTCAATCACTCCTGTGTAAACCGAAGGACAAAATGACAAAAGAAGAAAAAGCAAACAATATCTACAATATAAACTGTTCCAATTGTGAAAAACACTACATTGGACAAAGTGGACGCGCCCTTCATCTTCTCCTGCCGTCGAATGCCGTTACAACAGACTAAGTTGTATCGCGCAAACATGATCAGCGATCAACAATACAGAACTTTTTATTATTTTATTTTATTTAAACACTTAAATATCGGTGCGAATGGGCACCGAATACATGTAGCCGGTGACCAACGACGATTGGTTCATACGCCATTTGTTCCCTCAGGATACTGAAAGCAATGTGCATCACTGGTTTGGAATGAAGGTTTTCCAACTCTCCTAGGTGGACTCGCCGTCTCCACCAACCCGGGTAAAGTACAGAGCATTCGCTTTTCGTACTCTCAATTTCGTAAACAATACCGGTGCCACGAGAAAGCAGTGAGTAGGACTTCACTGGCAGAGGTTAAATGCGCGTAGCCATGTGAGAGCATTTGGAGAGGGAAAGCGGACTCTCCTCACTTTCGGCTGTATCAGGGCATTTGGGGTCACAATACAGAACTATAAAATATAGTCAAAATTTGATTTCCCAAACTGAATATCATGGGTTCCTACAGAGAATAATCAAAAGTGAATGAAGAATGTAAATCTGTGATACAAATGAAATTACCATATTATTAATATTACTACATTTAGCCAATCGGAATGTCTATTTGTCTTCGTTCAATGTCTTTTTGAATTATACCTTTGCTTGATAGTCAACGTATATTGTTACGTAGCACTTAACACTTGACAGAATTTCCGCTTCTAGTTACGAACTTGTTGAAGCTAACTCCACTAAAAAGTAAAGCCTATCTTGTTCATCGTATCAAGTTCACAGCCTTATCCTAGTATTTATCGTACACTTATGATTGCTCAGGAGTCATAGTTAATAAAATATCCATGTCATGTAAGTCATATCGTGGAGGTAGATGTAACGGTTATCGCAATCATTGTTCAGTATCCATGATACTTTTGAGAAATTCTAGCAATGTTTCAAAGTCAAAATAACATCTCATGTAAATTGAATTTATTACCGCTTTTCCACTTTTCTTTTGTATGTATCATTATACCAGTTCTCATCTGTGTGACTATGAAATTTTCTTATGGTTCCTCCTGAACGTCAACTTACTAGAGTGAATTATTTTTGTTTACTCAGTCTATAAATTATCCTATCAGTCAATTAATCATTCAATCAGCCACTTATTTTCTTACAAACTATTCATACTACTAATACAAATATCAGTAGTAATATTATCAATGAATGCAAACGTCCATAAAATATGATTACAATCTGCATGCATCATAATCAATACAATGACGAAATCGTAACGTGCATTATTTGAGAGAAAGTACCGAAAGGCGAGTACTAATATTACTTCAACTGTAGTCATAAGCGTAAACATAATAAGAGCTGAAATCATTCAACACTTGACTAAGGTTGCAATGAATGTGTGAGCAATAGAACATTCATGTATGCAACCCTTTCGATTGATCCTTTCCAATATACAAGATCACTCATTCAATTAATGTTGAACTCAATAATTTGACCTTGAAAACTATTTTTTCACGAAGTAGGTTCCATTTTTTGAACTTTGGAATAAGGACAACTAATGGCATTTACCTTTTATGTTGATGGATTAAATGTACAATGATGAGAATGTTAGTTATCACCGATGAAAAAGGCTTCAAACAAGTTAACGCTGAACGTCTATGCAAACATGATCAACGATTCATTCTGTGAATAGTGTGAATCAGAGGTACTTGATGTGGAATGTCAACAAAATTCGAAATCACAATTATATGAACACAGAATATTCTTTTTTATAATCCATAAAAAATTGGCCAAGTTTATAGCAGAGTACATCATTTAAGAAACTGTAACATGTGAATCACGAAGTGTTTGTAATAGGATGACATAGGGTGAGATAGAACATTGGGATTACAAATCAGAAATAACGTAATATGCAGAATATTATGAATTAGGTCAGATATAGTAAATAGGGTTGGATGCTGAATAAATTTCTCTTACATGTTAGAAGTGTGATAATAATAATAATAATAATAATAATAATAATAATAATAATAATAATAATAATAATAGTCCCAGAGTGAACATCAACTCTGAGATGCAGGTACATCCAGCTGACGAGTCCCAAATTGGACAAAACGCGCGTCGCACTGGATTCCACTGCTAGCCACTATCCATCTTTGCTTATCATGCTTGTGAATCAAGGCTATATCGAGTCAATACGTGCAGTATGCACATATGGCCAATTAGAGACTGACCAGTTGCAGTCCTAAAAACATCAATGGGAAGATTCAAAACAAACAATTCTAAATGAATTCAATAATATTGACTGGTAAGATGTGTACAAGAAATAAGTTTAAAATGAACATGAATTAATGTCACCATATTATAAAACTGATTATTAACAAGTTGACCCTGAAGTTGGCCAGGATAAAATGAGCGGCTGAACATAATTCTTTTGGATGCAAAGCTCTGGCTTTTTGATCCGAATAGTAATTGCCTCAGCCGTCTTCAGGATTCTCAGTCTGACAGAATTAGGCAGACTTCTGTTAACACGATATATTATTGTGAAAGATTACTCGATGTTGGCTCTATGTCACGTCTGAACTAAATTGGCTAAAAAAAGAGCTGTTAACCGTTCTGACTACACCTTTGCTTAACCACACTTGGAGGTGCTCACGAGCCCGAGCATACAAAGACCTAGAACATCTGCCTATGTCAAGTGTGTATATCAGTATATTGATATATTTGGGAATTTAGCGAATGAATTGGATACAGTCGTTTCGTTGAATACCGATATAATAGTACATATGATGAGACATTGAATGAAAAACTGATTATCACCACAAGATTTATGTAATGAAGCGTGGGAGAAGTGATACTGTTGAACAAGTACTTAAATAAAAAGTAGTAATTTCTATTACCGTCAGTCATGGATACATCAGACCAAGTATTTTCAGAAGGAGTTTTGTAGAGATTTAGTATTTTCATAGTTTAAAGCATGAGATAGCGGATGCACACTGCAGAGGAGTCCCACAATAGGACGAAACGGCCGTCCCGTAGTTCCAGGTTTTCCCTGGTGGTCTAGCTCCAATTGACTAATGCTTTCAACTAAGCTTTTTCACTTATGTATGGTTATTTTTAGATTATCCGGTGAAGATTATATTGTAATATGACTGAAAAGTCAGCTAAATATCCAGATGTATAAAGAAGATTATATCAAAGACACGTAAAACCTCCCAATTCCTCATTATCACCTATATGAAATACGTATAATATCCAAATTGT